GTCTGCACTGCAAACCTGTGTGCAGAGCACAGCTCAGGTCAGGCACAGAGCCCTGGCCTCAGCCCTGAGGGCGTGGCAGGGAGAGGAGACTGGGATGGAGCACCTGTTGGGGTTGGGGGGAAGGCTGCGCTGCTCCCGGCATCGCCTCCAGAAGCTCTCAACCTCCTCTGACATCTCCTCTGTGCTGATGAAAACTTGGAAGAGCAGAGTCAGAAGGAGGCGGGGGAAATTGTCCTTCACTGCTCCTGGGCACCAGGACAGCTGGAGGATCTCCCAGAGTGCCACAGTTGCCTGCCAAAGACAAAGCACCCAGAGACAGCTCTCAGGGCCCAGTTGTCCATGTGGTAGGGCCCAAGTGTGGCAGGAACAGGTCAGGGGAGACATGGGGGATCCCCCAGCCTAGTGTCCCTGAACCTGCCCCTAAGGCAGGCCTGCAGCCCAGTGCCTGGGGCAGGGAGAAGCAGTGGTGAGGGAGGATGGAAAGGCGTCCCAGAGGCAACGTGGGGGCGAGCAGAGGCCAGCTCAAGAAACTCACAGCAAGGGCAAAGACATCCCTCTCATCCCCATCAGAGGTGCGTCTCCTGTGTGCTGGCCAGTATTCCAGCACACGGAAGAGGATCTGCAGCACCGGCTCCTTAGTCCATCTGGAGGAGACGAGCGTCTTCCACATGGTGCGAGCAGCTCTGTGGAGTCACAACTCTGGCTCAGGGGGGTCTGGGACACAGCTCTGTGGCCTGGGCAGCTGTGGGGCCCAGGTGACAGAGCCACGGTGCCTTGTGGGGCAGGGAGGCAGGCTGGCCTCAGGATTGAGGGCTGCCATGCCAAAGGTGGCAAAGAGAGGAGCTGGAGTGTCCTGGAAGGCTCCATCTCTCTGCCACACCATTTGGGACAGGCTGTTGAGGGGGATGGGGTCTAAAGGCAGGTGAGCCCTCAAGGCAGGTGGGCCCCATACCTGTCACAGGCTGGGGCAGAGCGCAGCAGGGTCACTGCAACATCCATGGGGTGTGCCTTGGTCAGCAGGACAAGAGTCTTGTCCAGCCTGTTCTCAGCAGACACATTGGATGTGAGCCACTGGTGGATGCACCTGACTATGGCCGGCACCTGGAGGGGACAGGAGGGACAGTTGGAGAGCTGCCAGAGCCAGTAACTTTCCCAGCTTCCCTCAAGAAGTGCTCCCCTTGCCACAACACTCTGCTGGTCTCAAAGGCTGAGGGGGCCCAGAGCAGCCGGTGTGAGGGGCCACAGCATCCCTGGGGAACTGGAGTCCTAGCCACAGGCTGCTTACTTGCTTGGCTTTGTAGACACCGTTCTGCACAAGCAAATCCAGCAGGGCAGCGCTGGTCTGGGCATTGAAGAGGTCCGAGTTTGCCGTGTCCCCAGTGGTCATGAAAGTGGCCTCTTCTTGCCAAATGTTTCTGATGAATCTGCAAACCAGCTACAGGAGAAAGGCAAGGAAGATAGAGGGATGTCCCCTGGAGGGCTGCGACAGCGGTGCTGGGCTGAGCAGTGAGAGCAGGCCC